CTCCCACCCACGAAATCGCCAACACCTAAAAATCAATACGTATCAAAAGCTTAAGCAGAGAGCTTTTATTTGTACTAGTTCACTGTCGTCTTATGAACATTGCAATGAATGCGAGAGCCCTCACCTTTCATATGTGGCGGCAGATTCCTTCACGAAAAATTCTTGCTTCGCTCTCCTTACGTCGTCGCTATTGCCTCTCATTGCATACGTACACGTCCTACCACACTCAGGAGGTTACTTTTACCTGCAGGTGGGGAACCTTAGGCAACGCTTTCCGAGGGAACGGCGCCATAGCTAGATAGCTGAGACCTGAAGGGACGCTATGACAAAATGTTTAAACGGTCAAAGGTTCAGACACACAGCGGAATGAGATCAGAATGTGACTTGATTATTACTTTTTAAAGGCCTGAAACATTCCGGATCCTACATAGTCTCTTTGCATGTGTTAGGGCACAATGTTCAAAGGTATAAAAACAGAGCAGATTTCCGGTGTAGAATTAGTCAGGAAGATGTTTTCGATTTTGTAATACGGTAGGCACGTGCAGATTCGGCTTGCCACTTCTCTGCGACCTCAAATACTGACTGGATGGATGAGGGGGGAGGAGGGGAGAAGGAAGAGAAAATGTAAATCTTTTTACGCTTACGCAAGCCGGATCATTCAATATCCCAAAGACCGTCCAATCGCATTTTCACAGAATCCGGGGTAAAGTGTCAGTTTTAGGAAAATTTGAAAGGTAGTTATGGGAGTCTGTGGAAGGGAGAGGCAAGTTTTTGATCAGGGGGGGGGCGGGGGGCGGGTAATGTCATCAGTACTGGAGGCCGAGTCGGTCGACGGAATGCGAACAAGACTGAGGCCGATGTCAGGATTGGCGAATCGGCGCGATTCGATACTAGCGAATCGCCGCGATTCGCAAAGTCTGACATCGGCCTGACGGCCTTGGCATCCAATCTCAACTGTAAAGCTAGATATTTTGACGCCATTACGATCGGCACGCGGCAAAATCTCGACCTCTTTAAGGCCAGCGAGAGAACCGCATTGCCAGATCGAACTCACGAGTGTGAAGGTACGGACCATCGAGTCTAGCTCTTTATTTCTATTCTGTTTGCAAAAAGCAACTGGTTGTTAACCATCCTCGGGCGAGCATTTCTTGCAGGCATTCCCTCCTTACGTAGAAAAAGTCAAAAGGATTCGCCTGAAGCATTCTTATTCAGCCAAAGTCCAAAACCAATCATAGCAGCATTTAAGCTAATAACTCCCCAATAACTAAATTTTTCCCCACTGTAGTACTTTTGTTCATAGCAGAAGAATGATGAAAGATTGCGGGGGATGCAAACATTATAAAACAAGCAAGACAAAAGATGAAGATGTTATGAAAGAAGAAGCAGATTTATCCGACAACATGCGGATCATTTCGACTGCCACGCCTAAAGAAAAGCTATCACAAAAAACCGTACCGACTAGTCGCTATAGCACACAGCGAAATAAAACAAGTAATAAAGAAGTCAGTAATAGATTACTGACAAAAACGCAAAAACAAACTCGACAGCGGGGTAGGCGGTTGAGTCCAAAACTGGGGCCGGCCGTCGCAGTGGTGCCGCAGCCACGTGGGTGGTTTCGCGCCCATTATCGATATCCAATCACTGGCCGATGGGTGGTCATTCTCGTGATCTTCGGTCGTGTTAGGAAACGAGCCTTAAACAGATCGTTTTTATTTTTTCGTAGTTTTACTGTTTATCGCGTCAGTCGCTGTATTCAGAGACAAATTTGGGCCTAATGGTGCAGAAGGCCTGGGTGCTAACTTAGTTGGGGGGGGGCACGCGGCGGCGCGGCAGTCTGCTCGCCTGGCATGTTCGGAAATCCGTGGGCCAGGGGGAGTGTAGGCAGTCTAGGGGGGGGGGGCAGTCACTTGACATGCGTGAAAAGCTGGAATGTTCGAGTTTACACTGTCTCGCTCGAGAGAGCCCAGGTGAGCAGACTGCCGCGCCGCCGCGTGCCCCCCCCCCCACTAAGTTAGCACCGGCCCCTCCTCTGAAACAACATCGTATAAATTCTTATAGCAGCAATCACATTACTAGTTAATCTGTGATCACTGAAGAATCGCTTGACTCTCATAATTCAAACCAGTAACATACTTCGCTCCCTTCTGAGCACAGCGCTTTATCAGGAGTGTTGCCAGTCGGACCGATATGGTTCAGGAAAGATAGATCAAAAACGGAATACAAGGAAGCAGCACCAGTGAAACTTTTAGGTATTCTGGAGGGCCACGGCTCATATTGACTCACAAACGTTTGAGCCTACGGGGTTCTTCCTGATCGAACATTTCCCCTGACCCACTGAATCATCTATGGCGTGATCGCAAGTGGACACATTTGGCGTCAGTTATATTTTATCAGGTCGGGAAACCTGGCCTGGTAACTTCATCGACTTGGTATTGAACGATTGACTTGATGATTCATTTTGACGCTAGAGAACTGCAATAAGCCTTTGAAAATAGCAAGGAAAAACTTGTCTCCGAGCTATCGCCGTTAAAGGCACCGTTCATTCCCACGATTCGGGGATTATGCGATCCAGCGTTTCGGCTATATTCTGCTAAGAGGAATCATAAGGGATAGGCCAGAAATGCTTCACTGTGAATCGCCGAAATCGTTATACAGGGACGGAGAAATCAATCAATGTTGACCTTAATTCTTGGCGAATCGCCGAATCGCCTAATCGCGACAGAGTAGATGAATCTACTGAAGACAGTTGCCGTTTGTGGATCTTCCCTCATAACACAATTCCAAAAAAAAAACTTCTCAAGGGTTGTGAAGATTCAGAAAGGTGAAGGAGACTCATTCGAGAAGCCCCTCTCGAGTAAAGGGGAGAAGGGCCGCTTCACAAGCAGAACTATGAACTTTCAGAAGTTTTTCATTCCTTTTTCCTTAGACATTCGCCACTGATTAATGGGGTTACCGCAATTCAACTGGATTCTCACACCGGGCGCCACTGGAATGTGGCTAGCATGCATTTTCTGACTATACGTGAGACCGGCGAAGAGATTTTTTATTGTATGTAATAAATGAAGACACCACTGATAGCAACTCATACGTTCAACCAGTTTTTAAGGGGCCATATGATCCAGACCACCCCTAAAATACAACTCTATTTGAGTCGCCTATTAGGGCAGGAAGGGACCGACGGCAAAATACTAGTTTAGTAAGAAGAGAAAAAGGCAATTCAATTAATTATTGGCTGTAGTGAAGGAGAGAAGGGGTCGCTTTCTCACTCGTATAACTTCGTATAATGCTAGTAAATGGGCCAAAGTGAAATCATACTTCTTCCCCACTCACCTTTCTTTCCTTTCCATCGACGGTCGTTAGTTTTGAAGAGTTTTTCTTAAGGCGGTTGGAGCTGTGTTCAGTTCACGCCAGGCACTAGGGAAGTTATAAACTAGAGGATACTAGAACTAGATGGGGCGGCTTCATGAGGATGAGGAGCCCTGGGGGTGATACTGTACGGCTGGCAGTTGGGGGTGGGGAATGGCTGCGAGGCCATCACCCCCTTTTATAATAGATTTAGGATAATTGACCAATTCACTATTCGTGAACCGCTTTTCGTCGGTTGGGGTGAGGGGGGGGGGGGGTAGAAGTCTTGATAGCAGAGAACACGAGTAAAGGCCACAACAAAAACAAACATTGTTCAGTTTACACAAAAGCTTCCGCCAGTCGTGTAGTGCTGCATATTTTTAGAAAATGGCCATTTTTCAGAGAGATCATGAATGGATTGATAGCGTGCATGAGTCCAATTTATTTTCTATGGCTCTACTCACTCAAAGGTGTGGTTCATTACCCATTTCCAGCCACCATGCAAAACCAGTACTTTTATTCGATCGATGCGTCATAATTTCAAAGAATAATACGTCTTTCTGCTTATGGAACCAAGAAATTTTTCACATGGAGTCCTTTAAAATGAGGACATAAATTTAGGTACCTCAAACGAGATATCAGCACACGTCACGCCCACACGGCCTGGCCCCGCCTCCTATACACATCATGGCCCGCCCACATGGTTTGACCCCGCCCCTTAAGCACGTCACTCCACGCTCACATTGCCTGACCTCACCTTATGGCTACCCCCTCTTATAACATCAGTGGTCGCTTTATTAAAACGTCTATTGGCACCTCTTCACTCATCCAAGTCAGCCCTTCTTACTTTTTCTTCAGACTTTGAGTGTAAATAAACAGACCGACGGCAAACAGGTAAAAAAACAAGTAAACAAACAAATCATAAAACACACAAAATTGGTAGTCTATAGGTGGTTGAAATAAGGACAGCTGGCACAGTACCAGAATGTTTCATTCATTTTCAGCTTCCATAGTGATCATAAAATTCATTTATACGTACACGCAAAGTCACAATACCCATTAGAAGGACCGAGGCTTACGAGAAACTTCTGGCAGTGAAAAATTGAAGCTACAAAAGTAGAAAAGCAGTAAAGTAGTAGTTTAATAGAGCATATAATTATCACAGATTACAAGGAAAGACAACGGTAGGCGCATAAAGAAAAAACGAACCTAGAACCTCGCAAAACAACGAAATACCCCGTCTTGCACACTAAACTCTGCATTTTGACAACAAACACGAGTATAACAACCGTTAAATAGAACCTAGTACTAAGCTCAACAAGCAAATGTTATTCTATTATGACCATTCTTCCTGAATATCACATGCATAGCCACAGCTGCAATTAAAGGCAAATGCACAGACGCCTAACGTGAACACTACGCGCGCGGTCGCGTCGCGTCCACTATTTCTGCGTTCCACATGTTTTGGCAGTTTTGCGCACAGATTTTGGATTTTCTGTGCGCAAGAATCATCAAAAGACTAACTGTGTGTCCATACACAACAGCGAATAGTAAGCACATTCAAAAACAAGAAAAATTGCCAAAAATGACTACAGAAAAAAATCACACCGCTGCCACTATCAGAACATTGGTCACGAGATCATCACACAGCGCACCTAATCCAGGTCAACCTTTAGCTCAGTTCGAAGTGAGCGCTCTATCCGCACCTCCTCGATTACGCCGTTCACGACATCACGGAGTCGATCTTCGTCATTTCCTGCAGCAGCTAGCCCAAACTGATGTGCTGCGCGAAGAGCCGTTTCTCGAGGATGGACAGACTGCAAAAATAATTCATTTGAGAGGAAGCACATTCAATACATCGCAGATCGCCCGTTGTACGAGTATATCTGTATAATTTTTTATGTTTTCAAAATATTGTCACTTAAACTACCTATCAATCATTCTAATCAGTGATACCATGCAATTTGCAACTCTGAAAAATGTAAATCAATAATCAGGAACGTTGAAAAACAGCAAATCGCAAAACTACTTTTCTAAAATCGTCACACACACTCGCACGCGAAACAATGTGGTAATGTCGGAATTGGACACAGTCGATAGGTCATAGACATACGAAACATACGACGACGTTGAGGACCAAAGGAAACACGCAGCAGTCATACTAAAAAGTCCATCGACAGGGTGAATAACAGACTTGAACGGTGGCAAGGGGTAAACACTAGCGCAATATGCACACCACCAGAAGATTTATCACGTATTAAGAAACTTGCGGAAGGGCGCGGCTACCTTACTCTTCCACTCAGGCTAGTTATCCGTGTGGACATTCATGAATGCAATTAATTTCTCAAATCTGGAACAGCCAACCACGAGATAATACTTGACAAGCATATCCCTACTACTACTCCATGACGTCTGAACGCGACTCGCAATGCAATAATATGTATCGATTCAAATGATCTCACGTATACCATCTCGGCACCTGGATCAGACACGCTTACAGCCAAAAAGAAACAAGTCCCATTACGAATAATCAGTTGGAAAACCTACTTCTAGAACCTGAAACCAAAAACCAACCGATAAAAATCTCGCATTCATGACAATAATCCAACATTTTGAGATGACTAACCCCAAATAGAAGAAGGAAAAAGGTACGTCGGCGTTCATTCCGTAAGTTTCCAGCCGTCTATACTCTCTCTATTGCGTGTACTATTTCGCTATGTACCCTTTGCACTACTTTGCACAAGAATCATTGAAAAATAAGAAAATTTACGAGAAAATTTTTATCACTCTTTGACCCTGGACGCGGCACTTGGTGGTGCCAAATTTCTTCGAAACAGGATATGCGGTAATGTAAATACGATACATGATAAGCGCAAACAAAACTCACTCGCTCGTGCCGTTGACAGTGGGACCGTTTAGAGAACAATTTTCCACAAATTTCACAAGAATAAGGCCGATCGCCACTGAAAAGAGTAAATAAGAAAAAAAAAAAAATAAAGTGTTAGAATTTGAACATTCCCCTCTGGTGATGCGTCTACTCCACTTCCATTTAGTACCATTGCGAAACTTGAACAAGTTTTGGCCTACACTGAACTGCGGTGACCCTCCACCTCCGTCATAAACAAGAAAAGGAAATTACAAGGGAAAACCATACTGAAGTACAAAGTAGTAAAATGAACCTACTTATGACTTCTTTCGTGCATTTTCAGCGCTGAATTAGAGTGAAATGATTTTCCACAATCCCATGTGCAATGGTAAGGACGCTCACCTGGAAGGTATTCGATCAAAGAAATGCGAAGTTATCGGGGTTTTACTAAAAAAAGAAAAAAAATCACGGAAATATCTATCAGTCGCCTCAAAAGCGACTTACAAGTTTTGGTAGAGGAGGAAAAGCAAAGATCGTGCAGAGAAACCTGATGAAGGAAATGAGGCGAATAGTACCACCCACCAGTATGCAATCGTAAATGGCACGTCAGTCCTCCTTTCTGTGAAAATCGCTGCCCGCAATGGTGACATTGATGAGGTTTCTCGCCATTATGAGATCTGCGATGTTCTTCTATTTTGGATGGATACTGAAACAGGTGATGGTGAGGAATCAATTGGTGGATGAACCAAAAAAACACAAAGGCTTATAAAACTTCCAAAGCTACGATTACCCGAATAATCTTGCCACAGTCTTCACATTCGTAGACGGTCAACGGCCTCCTTGTACGTCCATTATTTGTCCGACGAGCAACTTTGTTGACGACAAAGTCAATATGGCGCTGTTTTGCAAGTCGCATACGCAAATCGTTGCTGGATTTTGACTGAAAAGTATTTCGATAGACATCTGGGATTACTGCCAAGGGAATATGCAATTTTTAGAAAAGA